AATACGCAATGGTAGAAGAAAAAAGTAGACACCATCTTATTAGGGGTTAATTCCTCCAGTCTCTGAATAGTTCATTACCAAAGAATAGCATTTTCATTGTTTGTAAAAAAACAAAACAAAACTGTAAGTACGAATCAGAATAAGAGAAATGCAGGTAAAATAAGTGAATCATGTACCAAGGGGAGCCGAGTCAGTATGGTGAGAAGGGAAAACGGTCTAGGTCTTGCCACTAAAGGGCTTTAGAACAGAACCCTCTGATTTCCCTGCATAGTTTCTGAGGCATGGTCTCAAATCTTAATACAGAGGCAAGTAAGCCTTCTCAAAGTACTGTGTAGAAGGTGGGTGGAAGCTGATTGACTAGATGCAAAGAGAGCGGGTATGTTTCCCCTTTCTGCTGCTTTTCCACATTTAAAGAGCACGGGCCGAATATTTTTTTTTTCACTTGGTAGGCTAACATTCAGTCCATCATGGCCTCAGAAAAGCAAGTGAATATCCTGATGCAGTTGCTGGATGAGGCCCTAAAGGAGGTGGATCAGATCGAACTGAAACTGAGCAGTTATGAAGAAATGCTCCAGAGTGTAAAAGAGCAGATGGACCAGATCTCTGAAAGCAACCACCTGATTCATCTCAGCAACACGAATAATGTGAAGCTCCTGTCCGAGATAGAGTTCCTCGTGGTGAGCATTTCCTAGAGTACCCGTCGAATGTGTAAAACTCATTTATAGACCTCGTGGGCTTGGGATTTCAAGAAATTACCGACTGGGTGATAGGATTGACTAGCTCACAATTAATTACACGTGCAAGTGTTGTGTTTGAATATATTCCAGAACCACATGGACTTGGCCAAAGGTCACATAAAGGCCCTTCAGGAAGGAGACCTGGCTTCTTCCAGAGGCATTGAGGCCTGCACCAATGCTGCCGATGCCCTTCTGCAGTGCATGAATGTCGCTCTTCGACCAGGTGTGTCCAACAGCCGTGATAGAACCTGACCGAGAACTGAGACCTGGTAACACTAAGAACTTTTTCATTTCAGTTCCTTCTAGGTGGCCATCATTGACTCTAACATCTTTACCTTCACAAATGTACTATTATGGTTATCTAGTGTTTATTCTGTTTAGTTTGGGCTTAACATCTCACTAAATAGCCTAGGCTGGTCTCAAACCCACAATCCCCCTGCTTCCCAAGTGTTGTGAGTGCAGACAAGCACCGCCATGCTGTACTCTCACTATAATCTTATTTTAAAATGTAATTTTATTTATACTGAGGTCAGAGGACATCTTCATAGATTCATTTCTCTTCTTCCACCTTTCCCTGTGTTCTGGAGGTTGACAGGTCACCTGGTTTGTGTGGCAAGCATCTTTACCTGCAGATTCATCTCGCTGCCCTACCACAATCTTTGGATCTTTCTTATTAGAAGCAAGCACAAGTACCATTCAGACATGCCAGAGAAGGCAGTGGTTCTAAAACTTGAATGTGTGTTCAGATCAGTTAGAAGACTTATTAAAACATTACTGGGCATATCTCCACATTCAGTAGATCTGGGCTGAAGTCCTGAAATTCACATTTCTAGTGGTTGCCACATGATATTAAAGAAGAAACAGTGTATTACATTATTTTTTTTTCCTTAATTTTTTTAAATTGGGGGCTGGAGAGATGGCTCAGCGGGTAGGAGCACTGGCTGCTCTTCCAGAGGTCCTGAGTTCAATTCCCAGCAACACATGGTGGCTCACAACCATCTGTAATGAGATCTGGTGCCCTCTTCTGGTGCACAGGCACACACGCCTGCAGAATACTGTGTACATAATAAATGAATAAATCTTTTTAAAAATTGTAAAGCAAGTAAAAAAGCCACTAAAGATTTGGGTTCTTCCAGACTGAAGTGTGGCTGTCATTAGAACAGTAGAGATTGGAGCTGCACCTCAGCGGGAGACAGTTTGCCTAACAGGGCTCTGGGTGCCGTGGGGAGTGGGGGAAGAAAATTAATTCACTGAGCATGGGGGGAAGGCCAGCAAGATGGTCGGTCCATCAAGAAAATGTATTTGCTGCACGACTTGGCGACCGAGATGGATCATTGGAACTTACTAAAGGTGAAGGCTGAGAATGGACTCCACAAAATTGTCCTCTGAGCTCCACATGCACACTGCCATGGCATTTCTTGTTAAACATGGAGGGAATCTTTGCCCTTACTGAGTCAGTGAGGGACTGTTGTTCTGATGCAGGCCACGACATGCTCCTGGCCGTCAAGCAGCAGCAGCAGCGTTTCAGTGACTTGAGGGAGCACTTCGCCCGGAGACTGGCCAGTCATCTCAACAATGTTTTCGTTCAACAGGTAATTTTAATTTATTATTAACTGACATATTTCCATAGGTCATTTATATGTTGCCCTAAACCTAAATTCCCACAACAATTTTTAATGTATTCATTTGGGCCTATAATATAGTCCTTCGTACATTTCTATGATTTTAAGGTTTTGAAATCTGTGCATAGTGCCTCATGGAAGTACTTTGGACTTCGGATAACCCTTTACACAGACATCAAGTTCTTTTTAGCTACATTCATGAATTACATATACAGTTGGCAGGTCTGTGTTAATTGTTGAGCCGCTTGTGTTTTTCAGTGTTTAGAGGTGAGAATTAGACCTGACTTCTTATTTTCAATGTTGCATAGGTTCTGTGTGTCAAATATATTGTGTACATGTAAGAAAACAATTAGATCAACTGTGAATGTCGTGACTCAGTCTCCGTGTTACAAACTTGCATCTTTTTCATGGAGTTATTATAATTAATGGCATGGCAACAATATTTTAATAATGCCAAGGGCACCTTACAGTGATTTGAGCAGAAGATATTTTAATAGTTAATATACTTAGGTTCTTGTGGGGTTCTTTTGTCTTTACTTTATTAGACATATTGAACAGAAAAAATAAGGAGAAATCTCAATAATCAATATGTGCTCTCTGGAAATACTGGCTTCTCTTTACAGTATTCTAAAACAATTGTATTATATTTTATTCCTGACTAGTTTACTCAGGCCCTCCTTCAGCTCTATAGCAGGTCCTACTTTCTTTCGGTTCCTGTGAGTACATAAAACTGGCTCCAGCTTCTCTGTTTTGTTTCTCATGTATATATAAAGTTTGCTAAAGTTAGCAGCAGAATTTTTATGCTTACAGCTTAACTTACTGACTTAAGCTACCCGTTAACTATATTTGTAACAGTTTTAAAATGTCCCATTTTGCCAAAAAGGCATTTAACCTCATTCTGCTTGCCTTTCTCCGCCATTTCTCATCTCCTTGGTTTTTCAGTAATTGCTTCTTGGTGGTTGAGGTGCGTCTCAGACATTGCTTCTCTTTCTGTCTGAGAGAAGCTCAAAGTCTAGGTAAGGGAAACAGACAGATTGACTTGGGGATTACAGCTGAGATGGCGGTGCTGTGCAAACATAAAGGAAGACCACCTCACTAAACATGGGAGGGGGAAATTGGGCAGACTCCCTCAACATTTCACTGGACTGAAAAGTCACACAGGAAACTCCCCTTTTCTTAGCTTATTATTTTTAGTGCTGTTGGCAGTGATGTTATCCACATGTGTAGATGGCATCACAAATGTCAATCAACAAACAGTCTTTTTGCATCTTAATTATTGGCTATAATGTGTAGTATTCATTCTGTTTGCTTCTTTGCCATGTAAACTAATGGCTCTGTTTAAAATGAATGCTTCCCATTTCTGAAAATCTAATATGTACTGTTAACATGGGAGTGATGCATGTTAAAAAACAGAATGTTGCAACAGCCTGTGATGTGTTGCCGAAGGTGGGAAAGGATATCTCAAGTACAAGAGATTGTCTCTGTGTTGAACTTAGTCATCAGGTCACTAGCTAAAGGGCTAAAGACCATGGAGATTTCCATTGCAGACAAAGGGACACAGTAGCTGGGAGGTTTTGACTAGCATATGATGGTACGCCTCTGCCACCACCCATCTTACTTGCCTTATTTAATAGCAGAGATAATAAAAGTATCTACTTCACTTAGAAGAGTGTTTGGCTCTAGTGAGGTGTGCCATGTTACCTCTTATTAAATTCCAGTATCTAGCTGAATGTGGTGGTACACACCTTTAATCCCAGCACTTGGGAAGCAGATGCAGGCAGATTTCCATGCTAGTCAAGACTGCACAGTGAGACCCTGTTTCAAAAACAAAAATTATAGTATATAATATATATGTGCTGGTAAAATTTTGTGGCTCACCAAGTTTTTATGTTTCTTAATTTGAATACCCTGTGAATTATGTTAATTATAGATTTACCATTTTCTTAGATGAGAATACATTATAAGATTAGTGTAAGGATTCAGATTTATATATAAAAAGAACCTGGGTAATGAGCATTCAGTAATTCAGTAATTGTTATTAATCTGTTGTTATGTATAAAAGAAACTTTAAAATGTTTTAACGTTTTTAAGCATGTGAAGAACAAATTTCTTTATACTTAGTGTTTTGCATGTGATAATTTTTATATTGATTGAATTAAGCAACTTAAACAATTTTACAATTCCTATGTTTGTTCTGGAACCATTTTATCTAAAATTAAATCTTCTAGTAACATTCAGTCTATCTTGACAGCAATAACTAAAGGAATGTTAGTTGATATGTGAACCGCCAGTTTCTCAGGCGTTTGTAACATGGAAATGCTGTGGACACTTAGTATAGTCACGTATGCAAAGAGCTTTGTAAGCTGCAAGGCCCTCCACACAATTGTTAATAATTCATTCTTCCACTCTCCAGAGGAGATTTAATGATTTCAAGTCTTCTCAACCTGAAATAATGTAACTTAGCATGTAATAGACCAGGTAAATGGCTGTAGAAAACATAGTTTTGTCTTGAGTCATTGAGAAAAGTTAACGGAGAAGAATATTTTGGGTGACGCAAGCATATGTGACGTTGCTCATTAGCACAGTATTTGGAGGATTGTGAAGCAGGAGAGCAGCCTCCCTTCTCCATCAGCACCATAGGTGAGAGACAGCGGGAGACACTCCTGACCCTGGAGTGTAGAGGCTGCAGACTCCTTTGTTCTCCACGCGCTTCTGTAGACCCATTCTGATGTGAAACTGTAGAGTGGAGACCGAGCAACGATCTACATAATAAAGCATGTAAATTAGAAGTGAGAAATCTCTCAAAGTAAAATCATTTTAGTTCCTTTCATTCAGGGTGCTTATCAAACTATTGTAGTTCTACTACTATTGTATACATTTAGGTGACTTTACCAAGAAATTAATTATCCAATACCTCCTCCTGAGTCAGCAGTTTTTGTCAATTTGATGGTTTCCATAATATACTGAAACCATCTCTGACTGGGCAACTCAAATGAATGGAAATGACTTCAGGTAAATGCGGCTTGTGTTGGCCTTTGCTTGCTCGTTGGAAAATTCTGTTTCAAGGCCAGTCTGCTCTTGCACCTTTCTCATCTCTCGGACACTGGCTTTAAGCTCCATCACAGATGTTAACTAAATATCGAGGAAGAACCAGACTGTTCAACAGAAGGCTGAAGCGTTACATTTACAGAGAGATGCACATACACTTACTCAATTCCACACACTCACAGCTAGACAGCAGCTGCAGTTTTTGATTCTGGTTAAATGCTTTTATTTGAATGTTTTTAAAGGAAGATAGAAGTTAGACTTGGTTATCAAGATTCCAATTGTGGCTTTCATCCTATGTGACCTGAGAAAGTTAATTAATACCCTGAGCCTTGGGTTCTTCTAGAAAATAGGGTTAATAAGCCAATAATCTAGCAGTCTATATTTTTCCAAAGCAAACATCAAGACACATGATCTAACTGTTTATTATTAATTTATTTACATAAAATTGTCAAGGTTTAAAATAGTCATGTGGTAGTTTGACTAGCACATCACTTTAATGGAAAAGTTGGAATTAACATTGTTATTAGGGATTATCATGGAAAACCCAAGATATAACCATCTATAGTCCTTACTAATTTTAAAATTTCATATCTTATACATTTTTATCTGTTAAAAAATAGTTTTCATGGAAAGCTCATTAAAGTGGATAGTTTGTTTTGGATGACTTCCCTTTAGTGTGTTTTTTTAATACAGTCTGTATCAAGAAGTTTATTTGCTTAGTATGTTGTAAAGTGATATAGAGAGGCAAGCTTTATACACTCAACTCTTGAAAGATGGAGTGATGCTTTATCACAGTGCCACCCATTCATGTTTGTGAATATTAATGGTGGTAGTATTCCATGGATACACAGGATGATAAAAACAGACAAGTAAGTACTTGATTTTTACTTTTCTGTATTTATTTGGTATTACTTGACTACATTTGGTTATTATCTAGAATTTTCTATTGTAACCGTGTTTTCTTGAACTTTCCATTGTATTTATTTACTTATTTACTCACTCTAGGGTCATGATCAGAGTTCAACTCTTGTTCAGCATTCTGTTGAACTGACTCTACCCAATCATCATCCATTTCATAGAGACTTGCTCCGATATGCCAAGCTGATGGAGTGGCTAAAGAGCACAGATTATGGAAAATATGAGGGGCTAACAAAGGTATGGATCTGATGTCAGTTACTCACTGGGTCTACAGCACAGTCTTAGATGGTATATTTAGTTCCTTAAGTTTGAAATACTTCAGTATGTTTTTTACAAAGCAAAAAATAATTGAATTTCTGAGTGCTCAATTATTTACTTGGATAAAAAGGAACTAGGCATGCACATGATGCACAGACATGAATATAGGAAAAATACACTTAAATAAATACATCTATTTTTAATAAAGAACAAAGTATCTGTTTATTAAGCCAACATTCTACTGTGCCAGGCACCTGGAGTGTAACAAGCCAATCTCTAATTCTAAAGAGCTTTAAGAATGACTGGGAAGAGTAACACTCAGCAAAAACCTAAGTACCAAGCTGGAAATTATTTCACAATACATGGCAGTTTGGAGAAGGGAAACCCAAGTCCTGGAGCCATGGGGGGAGACTTCATGGGAGATATTAGGCTTGAGTTTTAAATAATGCACAAGGCTGCTGGTGGGTCCGCTGCCCCTTACAGTGGACTTAGTACATCTTAGGATGAGATGAACCAGAAAGAAGAGGAAGGGCATCAGGGGTGTGGGAACAAGATGTACAGACAGAAGTGGTGAGCATCTGCCCCGTCACATGACAGCAGGCCCGGAGTAGAGACTTCAGTCTCTAGAGCAGTGAGGACTTAGATGAACCAGATGAGTCGTACAAAGCAGCACCCCTCAAGCACAGGCAAAGACTAGATGGAGGTGACCGGCTGTGGTGGCTCACCCTGTTAGTCCCAGCACCCAGGAGGCAGATAAGGGTAAGTTTCTCTGAGTTCCAGGCCAGCAAGGACTATACTGTGAGACATTTGTCTCAAAAAAAAATTAATAATGATAATAGGAACCTTCATTTGAGATTCCTGACACCTACACCCTAAATAAAAGATGGGGAAACTTACTATGGATCTAGTGTAATAATTCAGATGAAATGAAGTCTTGACTCAGGAAGGTGGTGGTGGGAATAAGAAGGGAAAGAGTGCCTCCAAAGGCAGACGTACTAGGATAACCCTGAACTTGCCAGGATTGGTCATAAGAACAGTAAGGTATACTGGTGGCCACCCTCCAGAAGTCTGAATCTTTGATTCAGTGTCTTCCATATATTCTGTGCTAACACTGTTGAGTGTGGGAGGTTTGGCAAGCACTTGCCATGTCGTAGTGCATATCTTGAGAAGAAAGACGAAACAAGTTAACTATACATAGGGAAGAAGTACTGTGGGTGCTCTGGAGAAAATTCAGGGGACACCAGTGTTTGAGGAAGGCTCCACTTTCAGGTACAGTGGTGAGGGACCTAGTCATGAGGAGGTGATGTTGGAGCACTGATTAGATAAGTAAAGGGTGAGCAGTGAGCATTTCCTGTCACAGGACAGGCCTCTGAAGCAGAGCATGCCCAGTGTTCTTGAGAATGCCAGGAGCCCACTGTGGTTGCAGCACTGTGAACTGGAGAACGGAGTCCGTGTGGACTGGCAGGTGTGGAGATGTTAGACCATCGGAGGGGGCTGGCCTTACTGCGTGTGACATTGGACAGGGGAGAGTGGGTGTTGAGGAATAGAATGATGCTGTCTACCTTGGACTTCATAACACCCTCAGGAAGCTAGTATAGCAAGAGCCAGGAGTCCCTGGCATTTACGCATCACCCTTAGAAACTGGACAGCAGTGTCCGTTTAAAAAGACAGGCAGAATTGTCACCACCTACCTCAGACATACAGACAGCTAGTAATACATTCTGGAGAGGCCCAGCTGCGAGAGCAGTTTCCAGTCTGAGACGTTGAAATGCTTTCATCTTTACGATTTTGTGAATTGAGAGCTGAAAATGAAATATTCAAATAATGTATTAAGTTGTTTTAATAATTATATATCTAATAGGGTGGTAAAGGATATCCTGGAGTTGAAATGAGACAGAGTTTTGTCTTTGTGGAGTAAGAATGCTGAAATTTTTCATTAAAAAAGCAGTTCCAGCAGCTGCCGTAATTTGCACCTCACGGGAGGCAGAGGGATAGGTAGAGATGCCAAGAGGTGGGCGGTGTCCTAGCCCTGTGCTGAGTCTAGCACATCTTTAATGTCACTCCACATGTCTTCTCTTGAATTACCTTCGCCCATTTGAAGTCAAATCTGTCTCCTCTGTTTCTAAACTGAGGTGGGTTTTATTGTTAGTGTTGGTTTGTTTTGTTTTGTTGGGGTTTTTTGTTTGGTTGGTTAGTTGGTTTGGTTTGGTTTTTTCCTTGCTTTTTTTCCCTTCCCAGTTCTCTTCTCACATCTTCTTTCTGATTTTGAATTCGTTCCGTTTCTTCCTATTTCACTTTCCTTGGGAGCTAACAAACCCGGGTTTTGAACCCCACCCTGCCCCACCCCGCCCTGCTCTCATCAGACCCTTCCTCTTCCTTTGGTTCTCCAGTACAGTTTTTAGGTTTTTGTATTTGGGGTTTTTGTTGTTTTTGTTTTGTTTTTTGTTTCTTTTATAGCTAGTGTAGCTGGCGCAGTTGTGCTGGAGAAAAGGCACATAATTAAATGGAGTTTGCTTAATTCCTTGTTTTCAACTCCTCTGAACTTCAGTGCCCTTTTGTTTATATATATGTAAGCATTTTCACTCGGTGGTGTCCATTTGAACTTGGCCTGTTCCTCAACCCTCTTTCTTTTTTGTTAAGGAAAAAAAATGGCTTTTCCACACAGTATATTCTGGTCACCATTTCCCCTTCCCGAACTCCTCTTAGCTCCTCCCACCTCCTCACCATCCAACTCCACACCCTTCCTGTTTCTCTTTAGAAAACAAACAGGAAAAACAAAACAAAACCCCAGAACTTTAAAGAAGGGAAAAACAAAAGATACACACACACACACACACACACACACACAAACTTACAAAAGCACAAAATTGGAAACTATAATACACAAGCAAAACACACACAAAAATGCTCAGACAAAGCAATATGAGACAAAAAAGGTCTTCACAAATACCATTGAGTTTATTTTATGTTAGCCATCTACCCCTGGGTCTGGAGCCCACCTTAGTGTGGTTAATATACCCAGTGAAACTCAATTGGAGAAACTAATTTTTTCTTTGAAAGCAGATGTCTGTGTGGAGATAGCTTCTGGGTTAGGGTTGGGAGCTCATGTCTACTCCCCCTTTTAGCTCTGGAACCCCATCTGGCTTGGACCTGTGTGGACCCTCCTGTGTGGGCCCAGTGCATGCTGCCACAGTCTTTGTGAGTTTATTTGTGTGGTAGTCCTGTTGTCTATGGAAGGCCCTGTTTCCTTGGAGTCATCCATTATCTCTGGATCTTAAAATTTTACAATCTTTCTTCCTCCTCTACTGCACAGCTCCCTGATCCCTGAGGGGAGGGATTTGGTGAAGACATCCCATTTAGGATGAGTGTTCCCATTTCATTCTCTGTATGTTATTTAGTGTGGGTCTCAGTGTTAATTCTGCTCTACTACAAGAAGAAACTTCTCCAAAGCAGAGTGTCATTAGAAGTCTTTTTATTGTGGCATTCTATTCTTTCAGCAGAACAATAGTATTTGGTTTCCCCCAAGCCCATGGCCTATCCAGGTCTCAGATTCTTGACCACCCAAGCAGTGTCCAGCATGAGTTCCATCTTGGAGTGGGCCTTAATCCAGTCAGAGAGTTGTTGGTTACTCCCACAGCCTTTGTGCCGCTATTGTGCCACTATGTCCTGCAGGCAGGTCACCATTGTGGATTGCAGGATTTGTAGCTGAGTTGGTGTTTACCTTTCTCCTCTGGTAGTGTGCAGAGTAGGTGTGAAGGCTCTAGTTAGGCACCAGCTGTACTTAACCATGTTCAATGAGATATGTAAGTGTGTCTTCAGCAATAGGGCCTTACCATCATAAACTGAGATTTTTTAAAAGGGAAGATCAGTCTGGTACAATGTATTTTCAAACCGTAATTAAAAATGCCTTTCAGGGGCTGGTGGGACAGTCCAGCTAGCAAAGGTGCCCGCTGCCCATCACAGCAGCCTGAGTTCCCCTCCCTGGACCCACATGCTAGAAGGAGAAAACCAGCTCCTCTCACAAGTTCACCAGCTCTCACTGACTCCACCCGCTCTCCCACTCTCAACCTCTACCCCACGCCCCATACAAACACACAAACACTGTGAGTGCACAAAAATTGTTTAAATGCTTTTCAAAAGAAATGTCTATCCTCTTAAGAGTCTATGGACATCTGATCTAGCTTGCTAGTATAGGTATGATTATTTTTGCTCCTCAGAATGAGTCTTTTGAGTGTTATGCAATTCTTCTGTTACGTTATTCTGTTTTATTTCATACAACAGAATTCTGATTTGGAGATATGTTAAGTAAAAATATTTATTGTACTCAGATTTTTTTCCCTTTTGAAGTTTTAGGAAAGTAATATTTTAAATAATTAAATACATCTTAGGAGTTTCATGCCAACAAGTGCTTTGGCCCCAAGTGACTGTTCAAATAAATAAGCTTTTTGCCTAATTGTGTTCTCAGAGTATTATCATCTTGTCTTTACATATTATGCAGTATTCATAAATGCAATTTAAAGTGAAGAAATAAGATGCACGCCATCCTAGTGGTGATTTACGGCTCATTCTGTGCTCAGAGGGTATTCTTTTTCCTACAAGAGGGTAGTTTTGAATGACACTACTAATGAGCTTTTTCAATGAAATTGACTTTTGGTTTGAGTGCGTACACACACACACACACACACACACACACACACACACACCTTATATGGCCAATTTAGTTGCTGATGTATTGTGAAAAATCAGGAATTGTGTTTAAAAAGGAAGGAAAAAATGACATAAAAACAACAACAAAAGAATCCAAATAAACAGACAAGCAGACCCATGTTTCTCTTAGCACTTGGTGGGTGTCCACAGCTCACACTTGGTGGAGTGAATAGGGAAGCCTGTTCCAAATTCTCGAGGGAATCTGTTCCTCGCCATCACTCCCAGCTGTGTTCAGGCTGGCTCTAGACCTTACTTTTTGTTTGTGTAGTTAGAGCTCTGGAAGACAGAGGGGCTTTGGGAATGTCACCCGTCCTCTCTCTCTCCCTGGACTCCAGCATCCGTATTTCTGGGTTGTGCATATAGGAGGTGCTTCACTCGTGATTAGAAACATCTGAGCTTTCCTCTGCAGTCACAGTCTGAGACTGACCGTCTTGAAGAGTCCTCAGACGTATCTGCATCTTAGCTCCAGTGCCCAGTTCAGCAGCGTGTATACTGAAATTGGAACAACATGGACTGGCAGGACCTCGTGCATGCATCAGTGCATATTCATGAAGCATTTCATAGTTTCATGATGGAGAACCCTCCCATACTTGTGGACAGGCAGAATCCACACTCTGAGTATCAATGTGTTATCAGTCTTAGTTTCACATTGGAGGAATGTGCCTGGTTGTGAAAAAGAAAGAAGGAAGGGAGGGAGGGAGGAAAGAATGAAAGAAGGAAGGAAGGAAGAAAGGAAGAACTCTAAGAGGCCTCTGGAAGACAACTTAGAGCCAGCACAAAGCGAAATTGAAAAGGCTGCCTGGGATCACAGTATTTAAACACAAGATAGATTTCAAGTCAGATGTTCAGAGGAATTAATTTTGTGGTGTATTTTAATTTGTATGTGCTTTTGAATTAGTATAAGGATCATAGGAAATAACTGCTCAGTGACTCTTACAGATATAGTCTATACATTGGAAAGGTGCAGACTCTAAAGTATGTTTGATCCCACTGTTTGTTATAGAGCCTGCTCTATATAAAATGATTGATTAATTTGAGATAAAGAATCTTGAAGCTAAAATTCTGCCCTAAGTTTAAAAGAATAACGGAGAATGATTATTCTACTGTGGATTTCTTTAAATTTAGCTAAACTCTCTAATGCCATTTAACTTAGGGTCTAGAAAAATACACAGTCTCTACTATTGAAGAGTCCTTACAGGTACATAGAGTATTTCATGTAAGCATAGACAGGTGCGATTTAAAAAAAAATAGTCTTTATGCTAAATAATAGATGTTTTCATTTAAGGCTCAATCAAATCTGTTTTCAGAAAAATTATTTTGCAAATTGTGTTGTATATATAGTAATGAAATTCTGACCTTTGGGATTACACCCAAGGCTGACAAGGGTCAGTGAAATCAGATCTCCATTGCCACTGGCACTGTTGGAAACAGGGCAGTGTGGAGGGCGCAGTCTAAAGATTCCCAGAGGCCTTCAAAGTGAAGTGCATCAGCCTCATGAAGAGTCCCATACTCTTCCACTCTATAATCTGCCCCTAGGAAATCCCCAAAGAGCCAGAATTCTCACTGTGACGTTGTCATAACAACACAAATGGCTTCAGTGTCCTTTGTTAGGGAATCTGATGGCTGGATTATGGTGCACCCATGCACTAGAACACTGTGCCGCCATTCAAGTGCAGCAGGAGAAACTCAGCTGCTCTGGTTCACATATCCTAGCTAGTGTGGTTGCAACCACAGTTAAAATGGACCGAAGCAACACGTAAGCATGGAACACAGTTAAAAATGGACTGAAGTAATGAGTAAACATGGAAATATAAGTATGTTTCACTTGACGTTTCCATAAATTATAACAATATGCTACCTGTTCGTTCTGCTTTGTTTCTTCTTCAATGAGAAAACAGCCTAACTTTTTTATATTCACTGAAATATACTAAGGTTTTATAAGCATGAAGGATTTAAGGGAAAGATTAAGGAGAAAATTGTTAGTTTGCTAATAATTGCATATTCTATTTATTTTAAGAATTACATGGATTATTTATCCCGACTTTATGAAAGAGAAATCAAAGATTTCTTTGAAGTTGCAAAGATCAAGATGACTGGCACCACTAAAGAAAGCAAGAAGTTTGGTAAGCCTAGCCGTGGGCTCAGGGTCTCCCTTTGAAGTAATCTTACTGAATAGTAACTCCCAAGGCTTTTAAACAAGGTGGAAGAAAACACAATAGAATTAAAGAAAGAAGAGGTCTAGCTAATATATTTGATTTACAGTGTTTCCGAGCAAGTGTATTTGAAAAGAAATGTCTGTCTGTCAGTACGGTTTTACAAGCTAAGATTAAGTGGTGCACCCGTCCACAGCAGTTGGGCATCCCTGCTGAGATTGGAGGTCACTATGCTAGGGAAGCAGAGGTGGGAAACAGAAGTGCAGCCGATAGAGAAGGGGTCAGGCAGGGCACTACTGCTGAGGGTGGTTTCTGATCCCCAAAGACGTTTGCAGGCGGGGGCAAGTCATGGCTCTCCAAGAGAAAGAACTAAAAGCCATTCCTGGCTTCTTACTTCTCACTGGCTGCTTTGAATTCAGAAGTGTTTATTTTCTCTTGCCAATGGTATATAGAAATGTCACCAGAATCTCCCTTGTGATTATACCTCATTTTTCTAAAGCAATTTATTTGGAGCATATTGCCTTTTATTTCCTAATACTTAAAGGGACAAAAACCACTCTTTGAAAGACTAGCCAGTGAAAGTATCAAGCTAAGAAAGAATGTACTGAGGCCACGTTCTGCTCTTGCATGTACCCATCTCTGGAGTTCTCTTTGGACGGAGTTCTGTGCCTATTCAAGTCCAAACCTGGCCTTAAAGGGCTACATCGTGCACTCCTCGGTGTCTGTGGAGTCCCTTTAGAACGCTGAGTTTAGCATTGACTGTTGAAAGGAGCCTGTGCCCTAAGCAATGGCAGGAAGCAGATAGCAGTGTTGAGTATTGCTGGCCCTGCTCCTGTCTGCTCTTCTGGGCAGAGAAGACTGCCTTAGATATCACATTAATTACTGTGGTCCAGAATTTGAAGTGCTTTGGATTGTCTGTTAATATGCTACACTTCGTAAAACACTGTCTTGGGACAGTAGGCTTTTGAAAACAGAAATGCTAACTCATCCTAAAGGCTAATTGTTCTTAAACAGCAGTGTGTTTATATCCTTGTTGATGTTTCACTGTGGATATGTTATGCCTTTTTTGGGCAAAGAGCATATTATTAATGCAGCTACATGTTTAATGTTTTCATTAAGTATATTCGTCATCACTTGTTAGTGTGCCATTTTATGCTGAGAAATCTCTTTTTTTGGTATATGTATACAAGTTGGATATACATTAAGATAAATGACATAAAAATACAACTTAAATAAAATACAATAGTATCTTTATATTATCATCACATTATCCTAAAGCTTAAGCCTTTTCTTTTCCTACTCTAAGTTCTTAAATTATCTTGTTAAAATACTTTAATTTACATATATAAGTTTAGAATGCATTTTTATCATTTTAAAACAATGTCATAACAAAAAGATAAATCTATTAAATACTGATGGATAGAGTAATTTGTGATAATTCATCACAGAAAATTATATTATCAGTTATTTTGTTATCAAATACAAAAGAAAAACTAAATTCAGAGAATAACAGCAGTTTGTTGATCTCTCTACATTTGACTTGTTAACATTTTAAAAGAAAAATTCAAGTTAAAAACACATGACTTAAGAAATTCTGAGCCGGGTGGTGGTGGCACACGCCTTTGATCCCAGCACTCGGGAGGCAGAGCTAGGCGGATCTCTGTGAGTTCGAGGCCAGCCTGGGCTACCAAGTGAGCTCCAGGAAAGGTGCAAAGCTACACAGAGAAACCTTGTCTCGAAAAACCAAAACCAAAAAAAAAAAAGAAAAAAAAAAAAGAAATTCTGAATTGAGTAGGTTGGAAATTTTTCCCAACAGATTTTTTTCAATGATCCAGGTTATGTTTAAATGAATTTTAATAGTAACTATAATTAAAATTAAAACATGGATTTAGAAAGCTAGCTTTTCAGTGACTCCGAGTTGATGATTTTAAATATAAGTTCTGCTTTGTACTCGCTCTGGCAATCCTTTCTCAAGATGCAGATAAGAGTTCCGCTTACAAAAGGAAGAACGTGACGTAATGGGCATCATCAGAATGGGCTGCCTTTTCCTTTTTGAAAATTTCATTTTATCTTTACCATCACTTATTTCAAGAAATTCAAAATAGATTAAAGATGCCAAGAGGATATCTGTTCTTCGTGATAAGATCTCTATATAAATTATTCCCTATTGATGAATAATTTATCTCGATATCCTCAGGGGAATAAGATTTTCCTCCTGGGATTGATACTTTGATGGATTCTTCCATTCCTCTTCTCCAAATGTACTTAATGAGACAGAGGCAAAGGAAACTGAGTGATTATTCTTACAATTGTTATTTTTACTGGGTTTTCCTTCCCTACTTGAGATGCATACTTTACTTTTTTTTTTTTTTTTTTTTTTTTTTTTTTTTTGTTGGTTTTTCGAGACAGGGTTTCTCTGTGTAGCTTTGCGCCTTTCCTGGAACTCGCTTTGGAGACCAGGCTGCCTCTGCCTCCCAAGTGCTGGGATTAAAGGTGTGCACCACCACTGCCCGGCTAGATGCATACTTTAAAGACAGACATGCCACTGGGGGCCAGGGTAGTGCTTATAGTGGGGCTTTAGCTGTTGGGTTTGACATATAATATATAAAATATATATGTCTTAACTATATATAAAATATATACAGAGATCTTAACTATTAAAAATGAGTTATTTATAAAATATACATAAGGTTTTAGTTCCTTGTATATATAATTACATGATTATAATGCCCCTGTTTAATATTATAAAATCTTTACAATGGTATCTAAAGTCATCTTATCATTGTTTCTCAATTAAACTAAGTAGGATTTTTGATTCCAAAGGTAGTTGAATACAAGGCTGGATTCCAGGTTTGGCGGAAGAGTAATTAAAGAAATGTTTATGAATGTCCATTGTACAAGTAAACACTGGAAGTACGGCCCTGAATGAAGGTCCTTATCCACTACTCTTAGTATGTTTATCATCTACTGGAGATTACTTAAAGATACTTAGGACTTTATGTGAGACTCTACTGCTGAGGAAGAATCTAGAATGTTTTCAGTTCCAAATTATAACTAATAGGCAGTACTGGTGACTAGTCACGATTGTCTGCTTTTAAAAATCCTTGCACTTAGCCGGGCGGTGGTGGCGCACGCCTTTAATCCCAGCACTCGGGAGGCAGAGCCAGGCGGATCTCTGTGAGTTCGAGGCCAGCCTGGGCTACCAAGTGAGTTCCAGGAAAGGCGCAAAGCTACACAGAGAAACCCTGTCTCAAAAAAAACAAAAAAAAAAAAAAAAATCCTTGCACTAGACCGTGCTCCGCGAAGGTGAGCCGGCAGAAGGACAGCTTAGGCCCAAGCAGTAGTGCTCACATTAGTGAACAGTTAGCTGCACTGTGCTGCTGGCCACTTTAGTATCTGCCCTTCTTGTTTCCCACCCTTGAGCTTCAGGTGGCCGAGGCTGGCATCCCCACATTAAAGGATTAGTCAGATTCTCTCACTTACTCGACAGTCGTCGCTGAGCAACTACACGTGTGTTGGCACCTCTCATTAGTCAGTGCTCACAGTTCTTTGCATGTGTCTTTTAAACTAGAGCTTTAACTGCCTCTTGTGCATGGTTTGTGCAGATTGCAGTTTATTAACTTGTCTTTGTCTTTGATGCTTGCAACCTAATCCATCACAGCTACACTGCCTCGAAAAGAAAGTGCTGTCAAACAGGAAACAGAGAGTGAGTATGCTTACTGTGCTAGTGGGCACCCTCAGTGCATGTCTGTTGATGTCAGATGTTAGTTACTTGTCTTGAGAATCATTAACAGCAGATGTGTGGATTGCACCCAGTCGCCAGGTATTGGAAAAAGAAACCCAGCATGGTGGTTGTATGTACATCCAAGACACAAGTGACGTGGTTACAGTTCCGCAGCAAGGGGTGGAAGCTTTGTTGTCAGAACTCAGTGGGGACCCTAACATTGCACTTCTGTTCTAGTCTGTGTTTAGAAGAGCTACAGCTATTACTAGAGGGGCACTGGAGAGATGACTCCGCAGTTAAGAGCACGCGCTGCTCTGTGAGAGGACCTGAGTGCAGTTCCCAGCACACAGCTCAGGTGGCTCACAACCACCTGTAGCTCCAGCTCCACAGGGCTCCAGTACCTCTGGATTTGCTGACACCCGCACTCACGTGCACATACCCATATGACCGCATGTGCATATGCACACACACGTTCACACACATGCACACACACATGCACACACACACACACAATTTAAAATAATAAAAATAAATCCTTGAAGAAAGTCTTAGAGGTCTGGTAATGGTTTGTATAATGATGCCAAAACTTGAATTGTCTATCATATCT